CCTCATCTTCCATGGCTAGTCCTGCCTGGGACACTCTAGTCTCAGCCACAGCATCCTGCATCTTCCATGGCGGCTCCAGTCTTGGACACGCTACTCTCGGCTGTGGCATGCGGCATCTTCCACAGCAGCTCTCTCCTCAAGAAGCCTGGCCCACTGAACACCCTCACCTGAGAGGCTTCCTGTGCTTTCCCTCCCACGCTCATGCCCTTGCCTCTGTGCCGCCATTCACTAAGAGACCTTTCCCACTTTGTGTTAGTGTTCACCGTCCCTTCCAGCACCAGGTGCCCCACACAGCTGGTCACCGCTATTCACACAGCTGTCCCCATGGCCCAGCACAAAGCGAGCATTCAAATCATTTTGAAATGCACCAGTGGCAGAGAGAGTGGTCACAGAAGGCTCACAAGAAGGGAAACGGGCCGGGCTCGGTGGCTCAGCCTGTAATCCCATGCCTTTGGGAGGCTGAGGTGAGTGGATTGCCTGAGCCCACGGGTTCGAGACCCGGCTGGGCAGCGAGACTTCATCTCTACAATAAATCAAAAATGAGCTGGGCGTGGTAGCGCATGCCTTTAATTCTGGCTACTTGGAAGGCTGAGGCAGAAGGATCGCCAGAGCCTAGCAGGTCGAGGTTGCGGTGGCCGGGAGCGGCCACTGCACTTCAGTCTGGGCGGCAGAGTGAGACTCCAACTCAAAAAAACAAACAAACAAACAAGTGAGTCTAGGTCTTGCTTAGCCTACATTCCACAGTGGGGAGCATCTCCCTCCTGATCCTCCCGGATTCTCTGCGTCCTCGGCTGCCCCTCGCACTCCACGTCCTGCCCACAACCCTGTCATCGAGACAGCCGGGATCAGCCCACATGGAGAGCTGCTCAGCATCCAGCTCTGCCCCTGCTCCCCTGGTCCAAGTCCCCACCACCTGCCTCCTGGAAGTTGCCAGGTGCCTCCCAGCTGGCCTTCCTGTTTCTTGCTACCTGCGGTCAGCTCTCCACACAGCGGCCACAAGGTCCTGCTGAGACGGGGGCCAGGCATGAGGTTCCTCTGCCTAGGACCCTCCAGTGGCTCCCCAGGCCAAGTGAGAAGCAAAGACTTTACAACGGCCTGCAGAACTCCCCGCGGCAGGCTCACGCCAACCTGCAGATACACTCATGCCCTCAAAGGGATGGAGGTGTCCATGCCTGGTGTTGTCTCCTTCCTGGCAACCACTGAACCCAGAGTGGAAATCCCAGCAAAGCCCAGTGGAGCATGACTGAGAGTGTGCTCCCCAGGCCCTCGCACTCGTCTGAGTTGGCTCAAGTGTGCATGTGTGTGCGCGTGTGTGTGTCCACGGACTGTACAGCACAAGAGGGAAGAGGAAGTCCAGACTTCACAAGCAGAAGCAAGTACAGGGTCAAGAGAAACGGTCTTGAACCAAGAAGCTCCCCTGGACCTTAGCTTGTACCCCCCAACTTTAGCCTCTGGGCGACGGCCTTGAGCCCGAGAAGTCACGAGGAGGAAGACAGCATGGTGGGAGCCCACTGACAGGGCGCGAAGGGCTGGTCTGCCCAGCCCTGCCGTGGCCACCCGTGCCATCGCGGGCAAGTCTCAGCACCCACCCACACCCTCAGCCTCAGCTGGCATATCTGGAGGGCTGGCCTGAGCAACAGCAGTGGCTTCGGCCCACTCCCAGTTGCTGATACTTGAACCCAGTAGATGCCAGCCGTGGGTGCTGGCTAACAGCTTCCGGAAGGCAGCACTGGAAGTAGGGCCTGACGGGGCGACATCGACCCGGATTTTGGATGAAAATTCCAAACAGCAAAACGAACTTGGTTTGGGGCCTGCCCACCCAACCCCCGGGCCTGCACGCCTGCATTGCCTGTGCACCCACAGCGGCCCCGGTGTCATCTCCCGTTTCTCCACTCAGGCTTGGAGAAGGAAAGTCCCTGCTGAGGTGCCAGGGCCAGGAACCACAGTGCCCTGAAGAGCAAGTCCTTAAAGACCCTCTGTGGGTCATCCCAGCAGTTTGGGAGGCGGAGGCGAGAGGGTTACCGGAGCCCAGGGGTTTGAGACCAGCCTGGGTAACTTGCTGAGACCTCATCTCTACAATACATCAAAAACTTAGTCTAGCCGGGCTCGGTGGCTCAGCCTGTAATCCCGCGCATTTGGGAGGCTGAGGTGAGTGGATTGCCTGAGCCTGCAGGTTTGAGACCCACCTGGGCAGGCGAGACCTCATCTCTACAATAAATCAAAAAAATAAGCCGGGTGTGGTAGGCGCGCCTGTAGTTCCAGCTACTTGGAAGCCTGAGGCGGAAGGATTGCTGGAGCCCAGCAGGTCGAGGCTGCGGTGGCCGGGAGCGGCCACTGCACTCCAGTCTGGGCAACGGAGTGAGACTCCAATTCAAAAAAAACAAAAACAAAAAAAAACTTAGCCAAAAAATGAGCCAGGTGTGATGGCACGTGCCTGTGTTTCCAGCTACTTGGAGGTGGAAGGACCGCCGGAGCCCAGCAGGCTGAGGCTGCAGTGGCCGTGAGCGTGCCCTGCGCTCCAGCCTGGGCCACAGAGTGAGATTCAGACTCAAAAGAAAAGAAAAGAAAAGAAAGAGACCCTTTGTAGGAAGTCCTTGCTCTGTTCTGATATTTGCCTTCTCCCGACTTATCGCCTGGTACATTCAGATGAGGCCAGGTGTTTCATTTCTTGGCGGAGGATGCATTTGCCTGCCTTCAGTGACTGAGACCCATTTCCACGTGCCGCTGACAGGCACTGTGCTTACACGTGCGCTCATCGCCCCATCACCGGCATTCCTAGGTGCGCTCGCATGCTTCCCCTCTGGCTGCGCCTCCCCCTTCCTCTCTCTCCCCCTTCAGCATCCCTCACCTCTGGGGAGTCGCCTGCCAGATTTCCCTCTGCCCCACCCCGTCCTACAGACCCACATGCACGCGGCCACATGGGAGCCTCATCAGCACGCCCCTTGCGAGGCACCGGCATGTGGATGTGCTTTCCTGGGCCTCACACTGTTCTTGCCCTGACAATGTTTCCCGGGAAGAGCTTCAAGTCATCTGGTGTGGCGTTAATTCATTATTTCTGATGGCTGAGAAATATGCCCTGGTCTAGATACGAGGGAGTGCTTTCTTCTCTCTCTCTCTCTCTCTCTCTCTCTCTCTCTCTCTCTCTTTCTCCTTTTCTTTCCTTTTCCTTCTTTCTTTTCAATAGAGCTGGGGGTCTCACTATGTTGTCCAGGTTGGTCTTGAATGCCTGGCCTCAAGCGATCCTCCTGCCTCAGCCTCCCAAAGTGCTGGGATTACAGGCGTCAGCCACTATGCACAGCCAGAATGTTTTCTAAGAAACATAACTGTAAGATCACCAACACGTGGGCCTCAGCAACTCTGTAGAGACGAGGCTGTGGTGATGCAAGGACAGACATGCAGCAGGCTGCCCCCGCCGGAAGGGTGCGGGTGGCCAGCCAGAGCGAAGACACAAGCAGAGAAGAATGAGTCAAGAGAAACGTGGGCGTAAGCGCCTGCGGTTCTGGCAGCTTGGAAGGCTGAGGCAGAAGGATCGCCAGAGCCCAGCAGGTCAGTGCTGGGGTGGCTGGGGTGGCTGTGAGTGCGCCATGGCACTCTCCAGCCTGAGCGACAGAGTGAGACTCCAACTCAAAAAAAACACAATGTGTATCTAAAACCATGTAGGTTACGCCCACACTTCCGTGAGCACTGTATGTTGGAGGGTGTCAGAGGCCAGAGAAAAGAGGTCAGTCACCAGCATTCCTGGTGGCCGTTCCCGGTGGGCAGGGTTCTACAGAATGTTTCTTTCCTTTCTTTGAGATAGGGTCTTGCTGTGTCACCCAGGCCGGAGTGCAGTGGAACAACGAGAGGTCACTGCAGCCTCAGCCTGCTGGGCTCAAGTGTTCCTCCCACCTCAGCTTCCCAAAGCTTTGGGATTATAGACACAAGCCACCGTGCCCGGCCTGTTTTCTTTCACTACTTTTCTGTATTGTTGAAGCTTTATCTTGATCATGTATTGCAGACGTATTGGGAGAAAATAAGAAAGTTGATTTCAGTTTAAAAAAACCAAAGGTCTCTCTATTCTGCCACCGAAATCCTGAGGATTTTAGTGAGAACAGGCATGGGTCAGAGAGGCCGAATGCTCACCGCGAGAAGGGTCAGATGGGAGAGGCTGGAGGTGGGTACTGGGGTGCCTGTGCTTCCGAGGGACCGGGGTTGAGTTCACGCATCATTCACAGAGACCCAGCTCTGGCGAGCGTGCAGCGGGCACCTCAGCTCACACTGGCGCCCGTGGCTTCATAATGCAGAGCCAGGGAGACTGCCACCGCCATCCAGCCGCCCGCAAAGGCCCGCTTCTGGGTGGAGGCGGCATTTCTGCGGAAGACAGCTTTCCCTCCCTGAGACCACAGACTCGAGGCCTGCAGGTGGGCGGAGGGGGGCTGGGCGTGACCTCTGAGAACTCCCTGCCAGCTCCCCACACCCCACAGCCTAGAGAGCACCCGGCTCTCCTCCCAAGGGACAGGGAGGCACAGGGAGGTGGACCGTGCACTCCGCTTTTGCCTTGACCTTGGCTTCCCCATTCAGTCCCTCCCTGTTTCCTTCCAGGCCCCTCCCTGCTTTCTTCCTAGAGCCTCGGGGCTCCTTCTGGTTTCCAGCGTGGGTACCAAGCAGGTTTAATTAGACAAAGTGATGACTGTGACCGTGTTGTCCTGGCAACTCAGACCCTTCATCCTCCAGAAACTAATGCCTAAAGTCCCAATGGACGGGCGCAAAAGCCCCTGGTTTGGGGCTCTGGGAGGCAGGACCACTGGGTTAGCGCAGCTTGTCTCTGCTCCCCGCGTGGACGGTGGGCTTCAACTATGTAGACACCAGGCATCAAAGCTGTGTTTCTTCACTGCTATAGAGGGAGAGAAGTGCAGGCAAGCAAAGTCTGTCACCTGGCACTGTCTGACTTCCTCAGTGCCCCTGGATTCAAAGGCTGGATGCAGGGGTTCGAGACCAGCCTGGGCAACTTGGTGAAATCTAGTCTCTACAATAAATTTTAAAAAATTAGCCGGGCATGGTGGCATCTGCCTGTAGTCCCAGCTACTTGGGAGACGGAGGTAGAAAGATGGCCTGAACCCAGCAGGTGGAGAAAATAGGCTGGATGCTCCCAATGTCATCGGGCCTAGTCCCCTGCTTCTGGCAGTAGACGCATGTTCAGAAAGTTACAAAACAGTATGGCTGCCTCTTCCCCTCCTGCCTGGGAGGCCAGGGGACATTGCCCATGCCCTGCCCTCCTGCTGCCTGTGGTTCAGCTCGGTCCCGCCCAGTCGGGGGAGGCTTGGTACGTACACGTTCCCGTACTCCATCTCGGTGATGGTGATGGTCTTCACGTGCCAGACCAGCTCCCTCTTGGGGATGAACCGGTCCTCCCTGGCCAGGTGGCCCACGCAGAGGGAGGCAATGTCCCCCAGGTAGATGCTGTCAAACTCAAATGTGTCCGTAGTCCCTCTGCAGGAACAAAACTATGGTCAGGGAGCGGCCCGTGCTCTCTGAGGCAGGCAGGCACTTGTGGAGGCCGCTATGACCTGGGCTCTGGGACAGCAAAATCCAACAGCAGCTCTGCATTCCTTCTGGGTCCACTCTAGCTCTGGAGAAAGACGACTACAATCAAAAACCCCACTAGGCTGGGCATGGGGGCTCACGCCTATTATCCCAGCACTTTGGGAGGCCGAGGAAGGAGGAGTGCTTGAGCCCAGGAGTTCAAAACCAGCCTGGGACACAGAGAGAGACCTCGTCTACCAAAAATTCAAAAAATTTGCCCGGGCGTGGTGGCGCATGCCTGTAGTCCCAGCTACTCGGGAGGCTGAAGTGGGAGGATCGCCGGAGCCCGGGAGGTTGAGGCTGCAGTGAGCCATGATTGTGTCACTGCACTCCAGCCTGGGTGACAGAGTGAGACCCTGGCTGGCCCCAGCATCAATGAATGGTGATGTCATTACACAGACGGCATTGGGAAGAGGGTGCAGCCTCGAGGAGTGAGCCGAGGGGTGGTGGATTCAGAGCTGAGGGAGGAGAGAGGGAACGGTCCCTGAAGCCAACCTGTCTCGGCCCAGCCCTGGTGGGAGGCACTGGTGCGGAGGGGCAGGCCCTCTGGGGGACTGGGGCTGGGTGGCACTCAACCCCCCTGGGGAAAAGGACCCTGGGAAAGGGGCTGCAGGCAGGCAGGGTGGCCTGAGGGCCTCTCGGGGCCCAGGCCTCAACCTGAGCGGGAGGCTTCGAGAGCAAGGTGGCTGTGTCTTCCCACCCCCACATCCATGCTGAAGCGGCAGCCCCAGGCAATGGAGTCGGAGGTGGGGCCTTTGGGGGGTGAGAGGTCATGAGGGAAGATCTGTGAGAATGTGGTCAGACACCTTATGAAAGTCGCCCAAGAGCGGCCTCGCCCCTTCCACCTGTGAGCACACAGGAGGGACGACAGTCTAGGGACTAGGAACGGCCCTCACCGGACCCGGATATGACGGAGCCTTGGCATGGGCTCCCAGGCCCAGAGCTGCAAGAAGCACACTTCTGCTGTGTCCAGGCCTCCCCGTCTGAACAGAGGGCGACCGAGGTGCAGAGGAGTTGGAGGGAGGGGAGGCTGTCTAGGAGGCTCTGGAGAAAGATGAAGTGGACATCTGAGCAGCCCAGAGGTGGCCCAGACCGGAGGTGAGTCCTGGTCTACATGGGAGTCTACAAGAGCAGGGCTGGCCCAGAGTGGGCTCTCACAAGGTCCTGTCTACACAGACTTGGTGTGGCATCCACCGTGAGCAGAGATTTCCCTCTAGAGTAGACTCTCACTAGGTCCTGTCTACATGGGCAGGGGTGGCATCTGTAGTGCACAGCACTGTCCACCATTGTTAGTACTCCCTGAATGCACTGTCCTCCCTCCCTCCTACCTGTATCCCAAGAGCTAGCACAGGACTAGTAAACCAAAGGTGCTCAATGTGCGCTTGCCAGCTGGATCCCCTCGTGTGCCCTGGCTCCCGCCGCAGGGTGATTCGGGGTCCCCTCTTCCCCGCCCCGGCCCCAGCCGCCCGCCTACTTTCTGAAGGCGCGCTGTCTGGATGAGTTTTCCACGAGGAACTCTTTGGAGCGGTTCTTCCTGCCTTCCAGAATGAGCCAGACGTTTTCCCTGGTTTCACCTCCATTGCCCGTTTCTATGACAATCTCGTAGGCTGGAATGGAGGAGGGAGGTCAGCAGGGAGAGGCTGTGCCCACCCCAGGGCAGGAGCACCACGGCCCCTCCCTCGGGCCCGTCACTGGGTCTCGGGCCATGGTCTGGGGGAGAAGCAGGTGGACACTGCCACCTTCGCACCGCTGGGAGCAGACCCTGTCCCGACTGGGACTAGGGCGATGGCGCCCCTTTTACTTGTGGCTGCAACCTGTTTGTGGGTGAATGTGGGAGCCCCGGGATGAGGCGGAGGGGGGTTACTCAGCAGGCACTGGAATCCAACTCTCTGGATGGGTCCCTAAGGCGCGAGGTGCAAGAATGAGCCCATCTGTGAAGGGCGCAGGGGTGGGACCTCAGGACAGGAGCAGAGGGGAAGGACGCCGGCAGGCCGAGGGCCCCACGGAGCTGGCTCTACTCCAGCAAGGCGTCCACCCCGCCTTGTCTCCGCATCACGCTGTCCCCTCCCTGCTCTCCCTAGTCGTGTCTGCACTGGCATGCATTCTTCCAACGCTGGCTACGTGGGCGCCAGGGGTCAACGCGGACGAGACTCCCCTGAGTGACATAAGAACTCAGCCTCTAGCCCAGACACAGACACGACTGGGCCATACGACAGAATCTGCCCCCTTGCCACTCGGCCCAGCAAGCCCACTACGGGGGATCCACCCAAGGAACATGCATCGTTGAACCAGAAAGGTGCCTGCCCACGCATGTTGATCCCAGCACTATCCACAAGAGCAATGACACAGAACCAGCCTTGGGGCCTATCAACGGGGCACAGGATAAAGAAGACATGGCACATATCCACCATGGAGCGCTAACGCAGCCAGGAGAGAGACTGAAACCACGTGCTTTGCACCAGCACGGATGTAGCTGGGCCATCATTCTAAGTGAAGACTCGCAGAAACAGAAAACCAAATACTACACGTTCTCACTTATAAGTGGGAGCCGAACACGGGGTACATACGGACACGAAGATGGGAGATACAGTCACTTGGAACCCCCGAAGGGGGGGAGGGGAGAGGCTGGAAAGCCCTCTGCTGAGGACTGTGTGCTCTACTTGGGTGATGACGGGCTCAGCAGAAGCCCAGCCCAGCATCACGCAGTTCGCCCAGGTAACACACCCGCACATGTGTGCCCAAAGCTAGAGTGTTCACAAGACCATGCACCCTTGCTCACCTAGCCACACCACTGCCCCAGCGCTCCCAGGGCACTTGAGCATCTGCCAGCCCTCGTGCCCACGGCCATTCTCCGGCCTGGGGGTTTCCCCTGCCCTGCCCCAGCTGTTCCTGGCCGCCTTATTTTTTTGTCGCCTTCTGACAAGCTATGCAGTACATTCTTATTTCTTTTTCTTTTCCTTTTTTTTTTTTTTTTTTGAGTTGGAGTCTCACTCTGTCGCCCAGACTGGAGGGCAGCGGCCACTCCCGGCCACTGCAGCCTCGACCTGCTGGGCTCCGGCGATCCTTCCGCCTCAGCCTTCCAAGTAGCTGGAACTACAAGCGCGCGCTACCACGCCCGGCTACATTCTTATTTCTTTACTTGTCTCCCTCACCCATGAGAATGTAAACCCCACAAGGGTTTTGGTTTCGCTCAATGGCAGATTTTCACATGTCCAGAAGAGGTTTGACACGGCGGGACGTCGGTGAGGATTTCCTGAGGGAACAGATGAGTGGCAGGGCTAATCCCAGGAGGCTTCATGAAGGAGGTGGCATTTGAGCATTGACTATAGCCAGCAGAAAATGAAGGAATGTTCTGGGCAGAGGGAGGAGTACGTAGAACGACAGGAGGGGTGTGGCATGTGGGCTGGACCCTCCCCAGGGACCAGGTCAGGGAGAGGGGGCGCATGGGAGACACAGAAGGTGCTTGCCGATATGACGGGTGAGGGTTGGGGACTCTGGGTCCAGAGCGGTAGCTCTGCTCTGCACCTTTGCCCTAGAGAGACGGTCGAGACAGTTAAGATGGTTAAGAGACAGGCGCCATGCAGCAGCTGCGCAGTACAGATCCCAGACTCTCTGCAACACGTGCCTTTTCACCTGCTCTCCAGAAAACGCTCTGCCACCTGGAACAGGTGGTTTGAATCTGGGCAGAGAGGCAGGTCGCCTCCAGCAGAGGAAGAGACACAAGGAGAATGCGACTTCAGCGGCAGGGAGGGTCCTGGCGCAGGGAGGGTCGGGGCAGGGAGTGTTCTGGGGCAGGGAATGTTCTCAAAGCCACACATCGGGGGCGCTGTCCCTGGCCCTTCCACATCCCCGGGAGGTGAAGGTCAGTTCCGCCACAGACGCAGGTGAATTCCCACGGGATCCTGGTGTGGTTTAGGCCGTGGTTTGCCAGCACCACAGAGGGAGGCTGCCGTGCCAGGAGCCCACGTCACCACGCTAGGACCCTAAGTGTCACCAAGATGGTCCCTAGCAGGGTGTGTGAGGCGATGAGAGCGGGGTCACCAGAGCGGCTGCAGCAGATCCTCTCCCCATGGAGCCAGGGAGGAGGCAGGGAAGTGAGCAGGACATTTCAGTGGCTCAGAAGCGAACGTCGCTGGCTGCGCAGTGGTCTTGAGAGGAGCCGTCCGTGGCCCTTTCCCTTGCCTGCTTCCCCTGGGGCCCCGGCCTGATGGCAGTGTGGAAGGTATGAAGGCGTGACCCTGTGCCTTGTTGACAGGTCACTTCAAGGAAACCGACTGAGACAGACCAGGGCCATGGGCAGACAGGGCGCATGAGGGGAGGAGGCCGGTCTCTGACTGCAGGGCCACGAATATGTGCCTGTGTGAGCCTCTCCTCTGCAGCCTCGATCCATCTCAACAGACTCTGTTCCTAGTGCTGTTGACAGACAGGCCAGTTTCCAGCTCTACCACGCACTGGAAATCACCTGTGGAGGACGATGCTTGCAGAGAGCGGGGGATGGCTTCCAGAACTGCCAACGAGGGCTGGGGCTGGAGGTCGGCACAGGAGACAGGGCAGCGGGTCGGCCCAGCCAAGCCCAGCAGAGACAAGACATGGGGGTGGGGCCTCGGCTTCTCCTGGCCTGGTCTTGGCTCCTTATCCAAGGCCTAGAGGTGGGACTTTGCACGCTCGCTACCCCTGGGTGGGAGGGCGGTTGCCAGGACACAGAGAGAACAGGTGTGGGACATACCATTTGCACTAGGCCCTACTCAGGACAAGGGGAGCCACGTGCCCAGAGCCGCCCAGCTGTCCAGGGGTCACTGACACTGGAATGTAAGTGCGGGGCAGGGTCTCCACTTCACACCTCGTGTGTCCGGGTGTCAGACGAGGGCCTGGCCTGCAGGGGTCCTCCATGTGGGCTTGCCACATGGTTCAGCAGAGGCGCTGGCAGTGGGGGGGGTCAGTGTTTGGCTCAAGGTGTGCCCATGACGCCCGGGGTGAGCTGCCACCTGTGGCCGCCTTTCCCTCAAGGGCAGCCCAGAGGGCGCTGCTCTGCCCCTGTGGGTGCCAAGAAAGACAAAGGGACACAGTCCCACTTCCAGCCCCGCGTCCTTCAAACCCGATCCCAGCACACACATGCCTTTCTCGAAAGGACACACAGGCCACCTGCCCTGTGCCCTGCGCTCTAGGCCCCAGCACACTCACACTCTGCTGGAAAGGACGTGTGTGTCACCTGCCCCACGTCCCACCCTCCCGGTCCCAGAATGCACGCCCCCTCCCAGAAAGGACACACGTGTCACCGGCCCTACAAGCTGCCCTCCTGGCCCCAGCACACACAGCACCCTCAACACCCTCCCTGCACGGACACACGTGTCACCTCCCCTCTGCAGTCCCCCTGCCATCCAAATCACGCAGGTCTTAGCAGCTGTTTGGCTAAAAACCGGTAACAGTGGCCCTGTGATCACAGCCAGGCCTTACAAATCTCTCCTCCCCAGAGCCCGTGGCCCAAGAAGCCTCTGGTGCTCATCCTGGCACTTGTGTGAGAAGCTTAAGCTTCTGAGGACAAGGACTGCACGTCTTCACAGGGCCCCTCACAGGGCCCCTGCGAGCCCAGCACCCACGAAGCCCCTAGGCCTGCGGAGCTGCAGAGGGCCACAACCTCAAGGGATGCAGGCCCTGGTCCGTGGGAGCTTCCGGGTGCAGCACGCGTGCCAAGGTCAACACACACGAACCAGAGGTCACAAAGCAGTGCATGCTGCTCACAGCAGCTAAAATAAAACGGGGCACCCAGCAACCCCCGGAAATGCAGCTGCAGAAGCTGGGAACCCACCTCTGCTGTGGGCAGGAATCCCCGTACAGTGCACCAGTGGGTGCTTGGCCCTGATTGAATCCTCCCAGGGCCAGAGCACTCACTACCTCTCAAGACAGCTAATTTCTTTTCTTTCTTTCTTTTCTTTTTTGAGTCGGGGTCTCCCTCTGTTGTCCAGACGAGTGCAGTGGCCTAATTATAGCTACTGCAGCCTCAATCCCCAGGGTTTAGGTGATCCTTCCACCTCAGCCTCCCGAGTAGCTGGGACTACAGGCACATACCATTGTGCCCAACTTATTTTTTGGTTTATTATAGAGACGAGGTCTTGCCATGTTGCCCAGGCTGGTTTTGAACTTCTGGGCTCAAGGAATCCTCCCGCTTCAGCCTCCCAAAGCGCTGGCATTATAGGCACGAGCCACCACACCCAGCTTTGAGGCAGCTAATTCCATCAGTGGGCCGCTTGGATGGCATGGCAGGGATGAGTGTGGGTGGGTGGCTTTCCACCAAAGATCCACGCTTCCCCTCTGCAGTCTACGGTGGTTCTCCAGGGGTTCTCCAAGGGGGCTGGCCAGCTGGGACTGCATTTCCCAGGGGTCCTTCCGCCCGCTGGCACCACACTCCTAGTTTCACCCATGGGATGGAGGTCATGTGCTAGGCAAGGAGGGGAGGGCCTCCTCCACATCCTCCTTCCCTCTGCAAGAAACGTGGGGCTGTGTGCAGATGTGGCAGAGACACAGACACAAAGGGCGTGGGTCCCTGACTCACCCCAAGGAAGCCCCCCCTCTGCAAACCCTTGGCCGGCCGGTGTGATAAAGATAGAGAAACGCATTTTGCTGTGCGAAGACCCTGCAAAGCGGAGGTTGACCCCTTGCCGCAGCCAGTGCTGCCGTCACCACCGAGGCCCGACAGTTCCCTGTCATCAGGCTTGCTTTTGACGCGCCTCCTGCAACCTGTGGGGCCAGACTCTGGCACCCGCGTGGAGGACACATCTCCCCAGGCCTGCGGGCCGTCCACCCGAAGGACCAGCTGCTCTTCCCTTTCAGTGCACCCCCAGGAAGGGACAGGGGAGAAGTGGCGGACAGAGACCCTGCCCAGCCGGCCTCCAGGAAGGCTGGAGGAGGCGGCCGCTGCCACAGGCCGTTGGATGGCGTCGTGACGATGTCGGAACGAAGCCGCGCGAGAGGGCTGCGCCAGCTGCCCCGCCCAGCCTCCGGGTCAGGCCCGGACCCTGGCGATTCGGAGCCAGGGCTGGCGTCAGTGTCTTGGCGGTTCCGGGTTCACCAAGCAGCCTTCGAGGGGATTCCCGGCGCGTCTCCCCGTAATCCCTGCCCCCCACTCCGTCCCCACCCCCTTCCCCCACCTGGATCCCCGACCCCCTCCTGCGGCGCACCCTCCCGCTAAGAGGCACCGCGCCCTCCAGCCTCCCTCGCCCACCCTCCCTCCGCGCTGTGCCCCGCCCCTTCCCGTCGCATTTCAACCCCCCACCTTCCCTGGGCCCCGCCCCCGCCAGCCGCGGCCCCGCCTCCTTGCAGCCTTCCCTCCCGCTGCAGCGGGGTCCCCCTCGCCAGCCGCGCCCTCCACGCCCCCGCCCGCGCTGGCCCACGCACTGGTCTCCTCCAGCTCCTCGCGGATCTCGTTGTTGGCGCAGGCGAAGTCGCGCACCGTCTGCCTGTCGCCCTCGCTCCGGGACAGCCAGCAGTCGCACTGGAAGCGGAAGGTCTCGTCGCGGGAGTTGTCCTTCACGTCGATGTAGCTCAGGTGCCAGCCGGGAAACAGGCCTGGGGGGACAGGAGGGCCTGGCTGGACACACCCCCTCCCCTTCCCAGCCGGCAGACCACCCTGGGCTGGAGGCCACCCTCCCCTTCTAGACTTCCACGCCCGGCCTGGCTGTGTGGCCCTGGACGAGTTCCCTGCCCTCTCCAGTCCAGCTCCTTGTAGGTGAAGTGAGGGTGGGATGAGTGGTCCAGAGGACGGAATTCCCCTCGCCGAACCCTCCACTTGGGGTCCGTGGACACTGGAGGACTCGTTTGTGGGACTTAGGCCATCCACACCGGGAGAGATTGTGCTGGAATCACACGTGGACGCTTTAGCAAGGACAAGGCTGGGAGTCTCAGCAGAGGGCCCTGACTAAAGTGGAGTCTTCTGCGTTCACAAAGCGGAGTTAACCACAGGGTGGCTGTGCCGCCTGTGGTTGACTCCCCCTCCAGAATCAACTCAGGTGCCAGCTCCTCCAGGAAGTCTTCCCTGGTGTCTCCCGGTCACCCACTGGGCCTATCGGCACTCTGCTCCATGCTCCCTAGCCCAGGTGCCTGCACTGGCCACTCCTGACCCCGTGTGTCCTTGTGACTTGCACGTGTTTCCTCCCTGCGAGCTCTTGAGGGCAGAGCTGGGCCTTGTTTGCTTTTGTGTCTCCAATGCCCAGCATGGTGGCCAGCAGGGAGCAGTTGCCCGTGATCGCAGGATGAGTGGGTGTGTCCTGACTTTGGGGACCTCGGCTGAGCATTCAGCAATCCCAGAAGGAAGGGCCCAGAAGTTGCTGCTTCTGTCGGTGTGCTGTTGAGTTTGGTGAGTCTCGGTCTCGCCCTGAGCCTATGGCTGCTGCTGGGGACCAGGTGGGGGTCCCCGGAGGTCACCTCTCCCCGCACATCTGTTGGCCAAAACCCAAGGGTCTGCGAGGGAGGAAGTCCCAGTGAGCCAGCGGGTTATGGGAGTGACACTTGCTGCTCCTGACACATCCACAAGGCCACCCCACAAGGGACACATGTCAGCCCCCGTCCTCTGCTGTGTCCGACCGTGGGCAACCCCGCCACCCCCACCCGAAGCCCTTCTTTAGAGCAGATGTCTCCCCAGGCAAGGGCTGTGGGTGGAGCCTGCTTCTGGTCTCCAGGGTCTAAAGCACAGAGTCCCACAGAGACGGCTACGTGCCAGACCCCCAGGCTGCAGGGTGGCTTTCGAGGCTCCTGGGCAGGGATACACACCTGTCTTCCCTGTTCTAGCGCAGTGGCGTTCCAGGTTGCAAAGTGCTTCCAGTTTTTTGTGAACATAGGTCTTTGTTGAAGTGGACTTGAAGTGGAGACTGGTGAGCACCAACACAACCGAGCCAATTTTTTTTTCTTTGAGCTGGAGTCTCACTCTGCTGCCCAGGCTGGAGTGCAGTGGCACAGTCACAGCTCACCGCAGCCTCAACCTCTGGGGCTCGGGCGATCCTTCCGCCTCAGCCTCCCCAGTAGCTGAGCCTGCAGGCATGCACCATCACACCCGGCTTTTAACTTTTGTGGAGTCGAAATCTCACTATGCTACCCAACCTGGTCTTAAAGTCCTGGGCTCGAGCAGTCCTCCCCGCTCAGCCTCCCAAAATGCTGGCATTACAGGTGTGAGCCACTGCACCTGGCCCAGACTCTACTTCTACATGCAGTGCTACAGTTCCTACCCTCCAGCCCACATCATAGGGACCTTTTAAAATCAGCAATCAGATTGTGTCCCTTCTCCAAATAAAACCCCCGAGGCCCCCCTTCACTGTCAGGGTGAAAACCCAACGGGCTGCCAAGGACGCTGAGGATGGATGTTATCGGTCCTTCCCTCCTCTGTCTCTGTGTTGCATGCCTCACAGCTTCACCCACCGCTGTCTCTTTTACCCCCCCGATGTGTGACCCGGTCTTGCCCTGGAAGCTGCATTTGCTGCTGGGCCTGTCTGGTACGACGTTCACCCGGCTCTGAGTGCCATCACTGCCTCATGGCGGGGGCTGCCAGGTCACCATCCCGTCTGTGTGGAGGCTTTGCGGACCACCCTACCGCAGAGGCTTCCTCCTCGCCCATGACTGGCCATCAATTACGGTCTCCCACTGTGCAGTCTGGGGTGGCTTCGCTTCGGTCTCCCCGTGTGTTGTGATATCTGGCTTCTTCCACTGACTTGTCCACCCAGGAGGGCAGGGGCCTGTGATGTCCGTCTCATCTGTGGCTTCATGCCTGGAGCAGCGCTCGGGGGGGCCACTCGGTGGTGCGTGGTGAGTGTGCGAGTGCACTGCACACAGTCGTTGGAGAGGGAAGGACGAGGAAGAGCCGCTGCGATGGGGGGGGTCAGGAGTGGTGGGGAAACAATTCAGAGCCTGCCAGAGCAGCGGCCCAGCAGAACAGACAATTTTATCACAAGCGTCTCGGAGCTCGCTAGGAGGCCTGGAGACTCTGAACCTGCAGGGGTCTGTCTCTCTGGGCGCCCCCTTGCCTGTGGCTCCCCAGGGACTTTCCGCCCCCCGGGACCAAGAGCCCCTCCATGTGTGATGCCTCAGCTGCCTCAGCCTGCTCCAAGAACCTGTGCTGTCACTTCTGTGAGGAAGAGCCTTTTGGAAATCCCCCAGCCCAGCAAGGGGAGCCGTTCTCTCTCCTTTTTATTTTTTTGACCTGGAGTCTCACTCTGTCGCCCAGGCTGGAGTGCAGTGGTGTGATTATAGATCGCTGCAGCCTCAAACTCCTGGCCTCAACTGATCTTCCAGTCTCAGCCTCCTGATTACCTGGGACTACAGGTGTCTGCCACCACGCCTAGCTAATTTATTTATTTATTTATTTTGAGTTGGAGTCTCACTCTGTCACCCAGACTGGAGTGCAGCGGCCGCTCCCGGCCACCATAGCCTCCACCTGCTGCGCTCCGGCGATCCTTCCACCTCAGCCTTCCGAGTAGCCAGAATTACAGGCGTGCGCTACCACGCCCAGCTAATTTTTTATTTATTGTAGAGATTAGGTCTCGCCAAGTTGCCCAGGTGGGTCACGAGCTAATTTAATTTTTTTTGGTAGAGATGGGATCTCGCTATGTCATCCAGGCTGGAGATTGAGCACCCCTTTGGCGTCCCTCTCCTCCTCAGTCTGGCACCAAGATATTCCCTTGCTCTATATTCCTGCCTCTCTTCTAGATAGCTTAGGCCTCACCTCCCCCATGAGACCCCCCCAAGATTCCCAAGCCCATGATATTGCTTGTCTGTCCTCTTGGTCATGAGCACAGACATCTTGGAAAGTCTCTGCTGCCGGGGGCACGACTGTGCCCTGGCTCTTTGGTGGCGGTTCTGTCGTGTATACATGACTTCCCCAGTTAGACTTCAGGGAATGGGCGCCAGGTCTGGGGAGCTCTGAGTTGCACCAGGGATATGGACTCAGCATAGAATGGGCAGACATAGAATGGATCGATTATTCTTACTTTCGAAAGTGAACTGCTGGTTCTTTGTTCCAGTGCAAACCACTGAAAATTCTTCTCAGGTAGGAAGATAAGTCCCTTCCCCAAGCAACACCTTCCTTGAAAAGAGCCCTTAGCAAGCCAAGCATCCTTCTGGGGAGCTCACATTTCTTCAAGATCAACAATGGTTTGCAGCAAGACATGGGGTCGTGGTGGTCCTGGCTATGGAAGGGCAGAAGATTCGAGGCATTATCTTTCTGTCACTTTCACACACGCATCATCCGCCCAGAGCAACAGGGATGGGATGTGGCAGATCGGGCTGTGGCCCCAGCACACCCACCAAGTGAGCATGTTATCGTGCCTCCATGCCTCGGTTTTCTCATGTGCACAATGTGGAAGTTAAGCAGATGATTCCCAAGGTTCTTTATGCTTCTGTGACTTTACATGAACCAAAAGAAAACATTTAAGTTCATTTTGTGGGGAAGGAAATTCTTTATCTCACCAAAATTTTTAATTCAACCAGAGCAAGCAAGAAGAGCAAGATGCATTGGAAAATACGCACTGGTTATAATTTGTTCAGTGTGGTTAAAGCTGTCTGGGCAATTGGAATTAAGCAGGAGAGTGCATCATTGCTCTTGATTTTCCTCTTTTTTTTGAGTTGGAGTCTCACTCTGTCCCCCAGACTGGAGTGCAGTGGCTGCTACCAGCCACCGCAGCCTCGACCTGCTGGGCTCCAGAGATCCTTCTGCCTCAGCCTTCCAAGTAGCTGGAACTACAGGCGCGCACTACCATGCCCGACTAATTTTTTGATTTATTGTAGAGATGAGGTCTCACCAAGTTGCCCAGGCAGGTCTCGAACCCATGGGCTCAGGCAATCCACTCACCTCAGCCTCCTAAAGTGCGGGATTACAGGCTGAGCCACCCAGCCCAGCTGATTTTCCTCTTTATGAGCTATATTTCACAGTAATCAGATAGCCCAAGGGACTTTTTTTAATGGAAAATCTCCAGCTAGTAGGTGGATAAGAAGTAACAGAACAAGGAAATCCCTGTCTGCCACCCTAATCGACCATCACTGGATGAATCCATTAGAAGCAGAGTTAAGGGGGAGCTCTATGGGGGGGGTCACCAGGCTGACAGTCAACGTCGGCATCACTAGGAACGGGACTCCCGACCATGTCAGTACACATGGTTCCCTCAAGGCACTGTATTCCTCACAAACTTCCTCCAGACAAGGTACTGAGGAAGTTACATACCACGCAGCATTAGGGAAGTGAACATATTACAAAGAATGGGGGAGATTTTCTGTGGATCAGAAATCGAGCAATACAAAGGAATCCTTGGTATGTGCGATCAAGGTGATGCCATTTGGTAAGGAGCCATTCAGTTTAAAACGAGAAGCCCACCAAACCCATTTGGAGTGAAAGGACGTGAAGTTTAGGATCCGATTCCATATCCTCCAGCAACCGAAAAGAAGCTAAGAAAGAAAAAGAAACAACAAAAAGGATGAAACCTGAGTGACAATTCATGATGACTGTTGGACCTAGGTGATGGAAGAGAGAATGGCATCTAGAATGATCAGCCCAGGGAACACGGGGCTGGTGCCGCATGGACCTGTCC